AGAGTTCTGATGTTGTTCCTGGGATCTGTTAACTTAGGAGTCTCAGCCTTTCTTTTTAATAAATGTTTTATTAATTTTCTATTTTCACAACAAGTGCCCAATAAACAACATGATGACTGAGTCCATTAGTGATTCTGTGGTACATATAAGCTTCTTCGAACTATGTCCATTTTATTACACCCTCCAGTACATCCTCTCTTCTTCTAGTAATAACCATTTTTTCCACAAATAAAATTCTTATTACTGTTAGTAAGTATACAATTGCATATCAACATTTGTTACATTTTTCTAATAACGTCAATAATATCAGTTTAGAATATATTTTCTAACCAAAGCATATCTTAATTGCATTTGCACTCAGTTTCCATTTATTTAATCCATATCCTATTTTTGCTTTTTTCAATTTTAGTTTCCCATCCATGTTCAAAATATCCCAATCATTTATAATTTTAAAACAAGTTATATTTTGGCAACCAAAAGCATCCCTTATTCAAAGTTCTTAGCATATTCTTATTTCCCTTTACATACCAAGATATAATATTATCATTACAAATCCTAACTATCTAATTATAATAATACTTCTATTTCTAACAATCTATTCTTAAGCATATTCAAACATCTAGTTAGTAATATAACATCCCCTCTAATAGGTCAAAGCTTTCATTTCCTTCAGTCTTACTCTAGCTTTCTTCCTTTGCCAACTAACTTTCCAAGTCAATGGATTTGGATCATCAAATAATTCTTCCTCTATTTTTGTGTATATTATTTGAAACAAGAGAAACAATTTAGTTAAAGTAGTTTTGGAAGAACTAGCCTTTTGATATTCATTAAACAGCCTCCCTCCTTCTCCAGTTCCCCACAGTTCTGTTAACAGCTTTATCTTCCATTCCATCAGCTCTCCTTCTTTATCATCCAGTATGTTCTGAAACCTTGGTTTGTAAAATGTCTTTACTGTTTCCAATATTATCGTTGTGTCTTCTAAGTTTTCATTTATCTGAGTCTGGTCATTAGTTTCTTCCTTTAGATCGTCAGTGTTTGTGTCAGCATTCTCTAGTTTTCCTTCTATTTTCTGGGTTGCTGGTTCCTTTTCTATAGTTTTCTGAGTTTGTAGATTTAAATTAGAAAATTGTTCTTTTATCTCCTTTGTGTTATTTTTGACCTGATCACAAGCTAAAGCAATTATTTTTTTTTCTATTATTTTCAATATGGAGAGAATTTCTTTCTGTGGTTCATCAGTATTTTATTGGTGATATGGCAAGCTAAGGCTACTGGGAACAGATGTTAAAGATGGTGTTTTACTATTTAAAGCTGAGTATGGAACATCCATTTTATTATTATTTTTTGTAAGCAGCCTTTATACATTTATTCAACCAACTGGCCATTCATAAACCATTCATAAATTGTATATAAATACAATTCAATTTTTTCTGTCCAGTAAGAAATATATTCTTTCTATACAGGGAGAAAAAAGAACTATTGAAAGTTATTTAACAATCAAGATTAATAATCCAAAATGTTCCATATGTTTCTTCTACAAGAAAATAAATCCACAATACAATTCTGAAAATCAGTATTTATGTTCAAAATTCAGACAGGCCAAATTTAGAATAGTATTATTATCTCTGCCACACAGATAAGCAGCCCCCAAGCCTGTTACTTTTTTCTCAGCTGCAATTCTCAATAGTAAAAGCTTCCAAGGCCAGCCAAAGTCTTATCTAGTTCTGGGCTTCAAACCAGATTTCTTTTAGGCATAAATAAGTTGTAGTGCCACAATTCACCACCAGATATATCATCAATGCCATTTTCAGTTTTTAGATCCAAAACTTATATTGTAAACTTTTCAAGTCTTTTTTTTTTAAAAAAAGATCTTAAAAACACTTTTAGTCCCTAAATTTTCAAGTTGTATGTACCGTATATATTAATTCCAAATAAGTCTTATAGGTTTTGCCATTTCCCCCAAGTAATTAATTTGCCGCTTTTCTTTTCTGAGGGAATGGGTGGAAATTCCCTTTCTCTCTTTCATGGGGGGGGGGAGTGCTTTGGGCAGATTTTCAGGAAGAGGTCTTAAAATCATAAAGAGAGTATCAGGTCTCACCCAGTTCCATCTGTGTTGCTGTAAAATTGCTTGGTAGTGCTTATTGCCTTCCGTTGTCAGCAGCTTTGGACTGGCTACACGAATGTGGCCTGTCTTTCCCCCACCAGTTTGGAGGGCTTGGTTGGATCAAATGGGAGGGCTGCCACCCCTTGCAATCAACGAGAGTCCCCTCTTTGCTTGCCACCTTTACAAGGTGAGTTTCTACCCTTTCTAGGGTCCCCTAGCAGGGCAAAACCAAATGTGAAAGATGGAGTTCTATCTTTCTGCATCTGCATCGCCATGACATCAAAACCAGAACTCTGGAGTCCAAGCCTTGAATATTCCTATCACCACTGCAACCAATTTAGCCTTTATTTCCCACAGCCTTTGAAGTTTATCCTTCAGATCCTAGTACTTCTCCAACTTCTCATACTTGTTCTTCCTGACATTTCTGTCACTTGTTACTGCTACATCTATCAGCACTGCTTTCTTTGTCTACTACCATGATGTCTGAATCTGAAAGTTCCACAGGATCTTAGCTTTCTTATTTTCCATGACTTTGTGTGCAATTTCCCACCTGGACATATGAGGGTCTAATCCATATTCTATGCATATGTTCCTGTACATAGTGCCAGCTACCTGGGTATGCTATTCAATGAATGTTTCTCCTATTGTATCTTTCATTTTGCCACTATGTGTTAGACTGTCTCTGAGGTCAAATCTGAATAATCTGCACTTTGGATCTCATCTAATGTGATAGATTGCTGCTTTTATGAATCTCATTCTTAGTGCCTATTCTTGTGCTGCTATACTTGGTGCCTCACTGCTCTTTTTTAGTCCAGCCCTTGCCAGCCTTTTGTAGGATTTTCCAATTTCTGTCACATCAGCTCTCTGTTGATGGTCTTGTCTTATCTTTCTATGGCACTTTCTTTTCTTGCCATGGCACTTTCTCTGCTTGTTGTTCCTCCCATGTCTGCTGCTCTCTTAGGCATTCTCTCAGCAGCTAATCTTTGACACCAACTCACTGATGTATTCCTGAATGCTCCAGGTTTCAACCAGTACAGGGTCTTTGACACTTAATAGATCTGACCATAGTCTTGGGGTGAAAGCCTCCATACACTGTGAGGAACTTTAGTATTAGTTGCACTTGATGTCTGCATGTGTGCACTGTCTTCCAGTGTTTTTTTTCCATAGTCCCACTAAGTTCTTGAGTAATGAATGAATAAATATATAATTAGTATATGTAATTATTACAGTATGTTTGTGTGTATATGTGTAAACTTGTAATGGAGCAGGTTGATGGATTCCAGAAACAGAAGGTAAAGTGTTTTAAATGCCTGTAATGAAAGGTGTAAGACTCAGAATTCAAATATTCAAATAGAGAATAACAGCAAGGATCTTTGGAAGACTAATGGCATCCCCTATCTCTCTCTTTTTGGAAAGAGGCAATCTTGCCTATCTTCTCAAATTTTTAGATTCCCTTGGTAGTGAAGATGCTTATGTCATCTGAAGCTTCAGTCTATGTTAAAAGTTCTAGGGATATTTTGGACCATTAGATGCTTGTGAAGGAATAGCTATAAAAGAGCTTTTAAGTCTAAAACTATTACTTACACCAGTTCAGTCTACACAAAACCACCTTTAATTTTTTAGTGAGACATAATTCCAAATAAGATATTAATAAATATTTTTATACCTTTGAAAATGAATAAAAAATGTGGGGTGGTCCTAGTCCACTGATGATGTTACTTAGTTTGGATAATGAAACATCTGCAGGAAAACAACTAAGTTCTAAGAGCATTACAACCTTTAGCTACAAATATTCTCCTTTATTGATCAATAACAGTCAGTAATAAGTCTCACAGCTCATCAAAACATCATGCAAAACTTTGTATATTGCCAAGATATCTGACATATCAAAAGAGATTTCAGATACAGAGCCCAAATGACAGAAATCAGATTGTCTTGGATACCACATTTATTATTGGGAACCAATCTGTTTACAGGAAGAAAAATTCCATGGTAATATGATAAGTCCTTTTACCATTATATTTTTCATGGATTCTGAAATTCAGGATGATATTGGAGGTTTTCATTGATATTTTTCATAGCCAATATGAATGCCAAAAACATGCTGATAATACTTAGTGAGTGTGCAGGAAAATTATATATAATAAATACATAAATAAATACATAAATATCAGCACATAAAAGAGACATTGGAAATTAGTTGTGGTTTTTCAAAAAGCTCTGTTTTATAAGATAACATTTAATCTGTCAGACAATATAACCCACTATTTTGGACACTCCAATAAAAGCTTTTCTTAATTAAAAGGCTGACCTTAATACTAGTATAACTTGCAAAACAGAGGTTTTCCTCAGATGAAACAAGGTGTTCTCATAATCATTCACACCACAGAATTCTGCCCAGTCACATATTGCAAGCATTGAAATAAAGAACCATAAAGTAAATAATGAATGAGTGACTAAGTGGGGTCTCCTAATCTAGAGAAGGGCAGAACTGATGCACAAGCAATATATAAAGGACCAGATTAGTCACAGCATGTCAGGGAGAAAAGCTAACTTTGAAGTTGTCAACAATCAACAAGGACTTAATGATACAAAATTCATCAATAGGTGGCATTTTAATAACTAAGACTGTAGTTTAAAATTTTGGCAAATAATACACAACATTAGCTTAGAAATTTTAAAATCAAAGGTAACCTAAGATTGTTTTATATTCTTAAAATTGGAATGATTCCAAAATTTCTAGTTCAAGATAACTCAAATAGACTTTGTTCATAATTCAAAATATTTAAAACAAAATATTTAATTGATTCACTGATTTTATAGGCTACTCCAGCCAGAAATCACTCTGAGAGCTGTATAATTAGGAAATGATAAGAGAGAGCTATCAATATATCTTCTTTCAATGTTTTTTTCTTATTAACTCTTCCCTGATATTTAAGTTCGGCCTCAGAAAAATTAAGAAACATTTTGGAAAAAAGATGCAACTCAGTAGTGCAGCACTTGAGGCCAAGATTGAAAAGATCTCCACGGCCACCATGTATTTTCCCTTGGTGCTCAAATAGCTTGGAACAAATGACACCCAAACACTACAAAAGATCAACATGCTGAAAGTGATAAATTTTGCTTCATTGAAACTGCTGGGGAGTTTCCTAGAAAGAAATGCTACTGTAAAACTGGAAGCTGCCAGGAAACCCATATAACTCAGGACAGAGTAAAACATAGTTACTGAGCCTTCATTGCATTGCAGTATAATTTCTGCAGTTTCTGAATGTAAGTCCATATCTGGGAAGGGAGGAGATGTTGCCAACCAAATTGTACAAATGACTGCCTGAATAAGAGAACAAGAAAGGACAATAGAAATGGCCAGTTCTCTCCCCACCCACTTCCGTACCCTGGATCTTGGTTTGGTGGCCATGAATGCTAAAAGCACAATGATGGTTTTTGCCAACACACAAGATACAGCCATAGAGAAGACAATGGCAAAGCTGATTTGTCGGAAGAGGCAAATTATATTCCCAGGTGGAATGAGGAACTGAAATGTACAAAGGAAGCAGAGCAATAGAGAGACAAGGAGCATATAGGTGAGATCCCGGTTGTTGGCTTTGACAATAGGAGTGTTGTGATGTTTCACAAATGTTACTAGCACCAAAAGAGTGAAGAGAGAAAATGAAATGGCCAATATAGCTAAGCTCATTCCCAAATAATTTTCATAGGATAAGAAAGTCAATGTCTTCATAATGCATGAATCATGCTTCTTGCTTGCAAATTGATCTTGTGGACATTCAGAGCAGGCATCAATGTCTAAATATGAAAAAGTTGGTTCAGCTATGATTACCATTTCAGGATTTATTCCAGTTTAATTAGTAATTATCAATAATACAATCCCTCCATGTAATTCATAAATAGATGATATAGAGAAATAGAGATGATAGAGATAGAGAATAGAGATAGATAAGCATAGAAATGATAGACATGATAGGGATAGGGGTAAGGATAGGAACTGGGAGTGGGAGGAGAAATAGAGAAATCCCCTTATCACACCTATGGTACTCTTGGAATTTAGGATTCTGTGCAGTTTTTAGCTCTGTATTCTTCTGGAAAGAGAACTCATATGTTGTTCCTGGGATCTATTTCCCAACTTAAGAGTTACAATCCTGAGTCCTCCTTCCACCACATGGGCCTTTACTTTGTATACCCTCCCTGGTTCCTTCTTTAGATCCTGATACTTCTCCAGCTTCTCATACTCCTTCTTCCTGACGTTGTTGTCACTTGACATTACTCAATGTATTACCACTGCTGTCTTTTGATAAATGTCTTCTTCTTTTTGGGCCCTATCTGTTATCGGACATTGGCGATCCTGTTTTTATCAGCAGCCGTACGAAAAAGTGCTGCTGAGTTTTGTCCAAACCAGTAGATAAATATCTACTATCCATAAATATTTAATGTATGCTATCTAAATAATGTTATACTATAGAGATATTGTATATATTATATGCATTATATAATAAAGAAGAAAAAGTTAGTTCAGCTGTGATTGTGAGCTAAGAAATTATCTCTTGATGATAAATAATTATCAAGAACATAAAACATCAAATTAAGATAAAAAAAATCCATTGCCTAAAATTAGCCTGCACTGTTTATTCCATATATGACAGAAAATCCTACTGTATGTGAAAGTCTGCTTAAGATAAATTATGTTACAGTTCACAAGAGCAACAAACTGAGGGAAGGTTAATTCCATCCTTTGTTGGTTGCATATATTTGATACTTCTAAGGCAGATATGTCAAACAGAAGGCCCAGGGGCCGGATGTGGCCCACCAAGTGGTTTCATGTGGCCCACAAAGCCATCCTATGAGGGAACGGCCCCTGTTGACTTGGCCCTGGCCCAGGCTGGCCAGGAGCCAATGTACAATTTTATGATGGCCATCTATACTGAAACACATTCAGTCTTACCTCCACCCCATGGGTGCAGGCTGGGGAGGTGTCACCTTTGTGAGGAATGAAGAAATGCACCATCGCACTGGCCACTTCCAGGCAATGGTGCATTTCTTTATTCCTCATGAAGGGTGACACCTCCCCAGTTGCGTTTCTTGCCTGTTTTTCTCCCTCCCTCATCTCAAATATTTTCCCACCCACCACCCGCACTTAGGAAGGAAGGAAGGAAAGAGAGAAAGAAGGAAAGAAGGAGAGGGAGGGTCCAAGGGAAGTCCTGCTTTAGTCCTGCCTTGCTGCCCTTTCACCATCCCCTTGTCCCCTCCTCCTGGCCTATCCCGAAGGTCTCCCATCCTACTGCTAAGGAAGCTTTGGATACAAAGCCGGCTCTCCTCCCATGGAGAGGGAATGGACCTTCCTCTGACTTTGCCCTCGTACCCATCATGAGCAACCTGGCTAAGGAGAGCAAGCACAGCAGCAGCAGCCTTGAGGAGCAGGTAAGTGCAGCTTGGCTCCCCCTTGGGAAAGTGGGGCTGGGCTTGATGCCGCAGGTGCTCGAGAGCCAGGCTGGGCATTTGACCTCTCCTGCCCAGGGCTCTAGGTAGGTTGCACCACCATCCAGCCTCCCCCACATGGCCTGAGAGGAACAGTGAGGCTCCTCCAGTGGATCATGCCTTGGCACTTACCCTGGTCCCTTTCTGCCAGAAACCCTCAGATCTGTCCCACTCCTGCCCAGGCCCCCACAGGTACCCTTGACACGAATGATATAGAGCTGGCCATGCCCACCCAGTAGGCCACACTCACTCCATCCACAGCCACCCAGTAGGCCGCACCTACCCGGCCCCTGAGGGCAACCACAATGCTGATGCGGCCCTCAATGAAATTGAGTTTGACATCCTGTTCTAAGGGATGTAAGCAACATTGTAGATATACATTTTATGACAAAAGATATAATTGGTAAGCCCAAAAAGCCCAATACAAAGAAAGAGATTCTGAATACAGTGATATGCCCTGAATTACTTATAAATTTATTTCATGAAGAGGTTGGCATCAATTCTTATGGCCCTGAAATAATATCTGAACCCTTTTTATCTAAAAATTAAAAACTAATGAATATATTTTTATGTCTGCTGATGTAGTCTTTTCATTAGGTTTCTTCTGATACCACGGACATATGAAATGCTAACTTTGTTGGAATAAAAACTTTATCCCATCATTGCTCAGTGTTCTTTGATCTTTCTGTTAAGTAGCTTGAAATGAATCAGTCACTTGTATCTAAAATCTCTTACCATGATGGCTTGAAATTCTCCCTTCAGGACACAGGAGGCAATCATAACAGCAAAATTGCTTTCCTTCTTGCTTTTGTTTGAAGTAACCAGGGAGACAGGTGTTTGTACATGATGAAATGGGCAGGGTCTAGTAAATGAAGAGGAAAGAGAATTAACCATTGCCATTTAGGGTTTAGATATACAGGTAGTCCTGGAGTTATGACCACAATTGATCCAACATTTATGTTGCTAAGTGAAACATTTATTAAGTGAGTTTTGCCCCATTTTACAACTTGTTTTGTCACTGCTGTTAAATGAATCATTGAAATTGTTAAGTTAGTAACACAGTTGTTAAGTGAATCTGGCATTTCCATTAACTTTACTTGTCAGAAGGTTACAAAAGTTGATCACATGACCCTAAGACTGCAACTGTCATAAATTTATGTCAGTTGCCAAATCTCTGAATTTTGATCATGTAACTATGGGGATCCTGCAATGATCATAAGTATAAAAAACTGTCATAAGTCACTTTTTTTGGTGCTGTTATGTGCTCCTGGCTACTTTCCTTTGTGACCAGAGGCAAGCTTGCCTGACCAATAATCAGCCAAGACACAGTGAAGGCCTTTTATTTCATTTATTGCAATAAGCTGGGAGAAAAGCTATCAAAGCTTGGTTCTCTCCAAAGTTCCAACCCAAAATATTCCCTTCTTTATACAGCCCTGTCCCGGCTGCCACACCCCTCCTCTTTCCCTATTGGCTGAGGTATTATGAGGTTACACTCTTTCCGACTGTCTCTTCCTGCTACATACTAAATCATACATCACATGTACATTAAAATTAAGAGATAATTTATGCAAGGTTTGTCAGTTAATATTAATCAACTAATTGCACATGCTCATTTGCCTAGTTCTGCCCCCCTTTTATGACTTCTTAGAAAAATAGGTTCTTTCCTGTTTTGCTAGTTATCTTCTCTTACAGCTCCTTTTTCCATTCTGAAAACCCAGATAACAATTTTGCCTATGTGTTTCTCTTATATCCTTCCTTTATGCTATCCTTTCCTGGTTCCCATCTATTATAGTTGCTTCTCCACTCAGTAAATTTCCACTGCAGCAAATTCAATTTTAAATTTCTCTTTCAATATTAAGTTTTGAAGACCTTTCCTTTACTTCTATCAGTGTCATTATAAGTTTAAACAGTCACTAAATAAACTGTTGTAAATCGAGGACTACGTGTAAAAAAAGTCTGGACATATCTTGGAGAAGAAACATATCCTTTAGGGATCACAAATTTAGGAAAAAGAGAGGTTTGCAACAAAGAAAAATTCATATAATTTTGCAAATATTTTACATACTGTGAGTTTATAGCTTTTACACAATTCATTTTATTTGGGGGGGTGATATAGTCAAAATAGATTCAGAATTATAGTCAGAGATGTGTAACACAATATCCTTGGGTTTTTTTTGTTGTTTGTTCTTTTCTTTTGGTGCTTGCAAGTCAGTCTTGGCTTCTGGTGACTGCCTGGAAAAGTCACTGCAGTATTCTTGACAAGATTCCAGAACTGGTTTGTTAATGGCTACTTTATAAGCTGAAAGAGAGTATGTGGCCCAAGGTCTCCTAGTTGGTTTTTTTGTCTAAGGTGGGACTAAATTCAAAATCTTCTGTTTTCTAACCTAGTGCCTGTTCAATTTCATTAATACAATTAATCAGAATAGAACTAGAAGGGACCTTGGATATCTTCTAGTCCAACCCCCTGCTCAAGCAGGAGACCTTATACCATTTCAGACAAGTGGCTGTCCAATCTCTTCTTAAAAACCTCTAGTGATGAAGTACCCACAATATATGAAGGCAAGCTTGTAAAAATGTTTTTGTTGTTGATTGGGAGCATATAATCCAACTAGAAGAGTTCTATTATCATTTATTAAAAGATCAATAATAACATATCTGCCTTGAAAGTCCAAGTCAATTAATTTTGGTGAAAGCTCTTTTCTTACATATATAACTACACCACCTTTTTTCTGCAATGCAGGAGCTATAAAATGTACCCCAAGCCAAGGGTTAAACAAGTATTTTTGATCTTTAGAGATAATATGAGTCTCTTGCAAACAAATAATATCATTTTTATGTTGTTTCAAATAGTAAAAAATTTTCTTTCTTTTCTGTGGAATGTTTAGCCCATTAACATTCCAGGTTAGAAGCTTTGCCATTCTTGGCAGGTTGAAGCCTTTGGAACAAAACCTCTAGACTTGCAGTCGATGACTTCTTTGGCCTTGCTCCTCCCACTGGCTCCGAAGTAAAGTGTAATCCATCATCAACCTTTAGTTGCTGTTGCTGTTGCTGTTGTTGTTCTCTTTCTCTACGTTTATAGGCAGCACGTGTAATTCTCTGTTGTTTTGGGTCATCAGTTAATTGAATAGATTCAACCAATAACTCTTCTCCTGGGTGTGGCTTTAAGCCTACATCAGATTGTGTTTCTGCCTTGCTCTCATCTTTTTTTGATCTTGGAGATGGTGGTGACTCTGCTTTTAACACAGTCATATAAAAATCTTTTGCTTTAGAAATTGTATTAAGATGATAACATAAGCCAAGATAAGTCACCACTATCCCCACAGGAATATCCCATCTGAATTGAATTTGTTGTTTCTTAAGTTCATCCGCCAAAAAAGCAAAATCTCTCCTTCTCCTAAGGATTTTTGAAGGTATTTCTTTTAAGATTATTACATCTTGAGTTGCAATCTGAAATCTGTGCTTATAAAAAGCCTGAATAATTTCATTCCGCAATGATCTTCTAGCAAAATAAACCACCACATCCCTTGGTAGCTTCCTCTGTTTTGCGACCCATGAATTAACTCTAAAAATCTTTTCTATATCTCTCAACATTGCTTCAGGGTCACATTCCAAAATAGAAGCCAATTCAATTGCAATTTCTTCCTTCAAATTCTCCTGAAGATTCTCTTTTAAGCCTCTTATTCTCAAAGCAAACTCCATTTCTCTACATTGTGATATTAAAATCTCATCCTGAACATTGTCTGCATTATCTTCTATCTTATCAACTCTATCTTGTAGTATTTCTACCTTCCCCACCACTTCATCCACCCTGTCATCAATTTTTTCTACAAGTCCAGCAAGCCCCTTCAGTGCAGAAATAATATCTACTCTCATCTGATCATTTTTTTCTCAATAAGTTCTACTGTCTTTTGTATAGTTTTCTCATAAATGTTCTCCAAAGCATCTTGCAAATCTTTAAGTGTTATTGACTGCGGTGGTGGTGAGGGTTGAGAAAGTTTAGGTCTGGGTTGTTGTTGTACAGTCTGAGTTACTGAAGAAGGAGTTGCAACTTTAGGAAGAGAAGCAGGTCCAGGACGTTTTGAGGTCATTTTAACAAAGAAAAAAAAAGTTTTGTTTTTTTTAAAAAAAGAATTAAAAACTAGTAAAAGTAAAAAGAGCAAGAACAGCAACAAAAAAAGAAGTTTACTCCTTAAAAAAAGGAATTCTCTTAAACAAATCAAGTCCATTACGTTGATAAATCTCGATCAATAAAAAGTAGAAAATGACAGTGTTCAAACAAGAAGAGTAACAAAGAAACAATATTCCTCTGCCATATTTCTTGCTCCAGCAATTTGTTCAGATAATAACAGGAGAAGATGTTAGTTCTCCCTGAGTTAAGTTAGAAGTAAAATCCAGTCATTGTTCTCCTGGGAGCTCTGTCTGCTTTAAAAGTCACTTACAGTTTTCATTAGGAGAGCAGCAGTGGAGGCGGTGTCTGGCTTCGTTCTCGGAGAACAAAGGCATCCCAGGAAATGGAGCAACACCCAGACTTTGGAGGATCTCTCACACTTCACCTCCCGAGAAAAAATCCCTGGGAGGTTGGTGAGGTTCAACTCCTATCCAGGAGAAAGCTCACCTTCTTCCCTTCACCTGGGAAGAAGGTTTCAAGCCATAAAACAGCTGGTCGTCGCTGTTTAACCAGCTTTTATGATCTCCCGGGAGAGGCAGCTGTAAAACAGCTGCTATCAACACCAACGCAGCCACCGGAAGTCCTCATCAGAAACTAATTTCTTTGGATTATAAATCGGTTATTATGATGGGAGATTGGAATGGTGTTTTGGATCCAAGCAAATAAGAAGGGTTCTTTTAAAGTGTGTAACCAGGCTAGACTTCCGAAAACTTTTTTTGATTTAAAGGAAGATTTGTCCTCACTGTTACGAATTTTCTCCTTAATTCTAGATTGCTTCTCTCCTTCATTGTTTCTTATCTTGCTTCTGGTGCTTTGGAAAGTAAGTTGATCCCCTCCTCTTTGTGGCAGCTCCTCAAATACTGGAATACTGCTATTATGTCACCCCTAGTCCTTCTTTTCTCTAAACTATCCATACCCAATTCCTGCAAACCTTCTTCATGTGTTTTTTGTCTCCAGGCCTTTAACCATCTTTGTTGCTCTTGTCTGCACTTTTTCCAGAGTCTCAACATCTGTTTTTAATGGGGTGACCAAAACTAGATACAGTATTACAGGTGTGGTCTAAGTAAGGATTTATAATGCAATACTAATACTTCATGTGATTTTGATTCTATAACTCTGTTTATACAACTAAGGATTGTATTAGCTTTTTTGGCTGCTGTCGCACACTGCTGGCTCCTGTTTAAGTGGTCATCTACAAGGACTCCAAAGTCCCTCTCAGAGTTACTATTTTTGAGCCAGGTCTTGCCTAATCTGTACTTGTACCTTTAGTTTTTCCTGCCTAGGTGTAAAATCTTGCTTTTTTCCAAATTAAATTTCATGTTGTTGGATAGGGCCCATTTTTCAAGTCTGTCCAGATCTTTTTGGATCCTGATCTTGTCTCCTGGGGTGTTAGCTATTTCTGCCAGCTTAGTATCATCTGCAATTTTGATGAGCTCCCCTTCTTTTCTCTCATCTATTTATGAAGATATTGAAGAGTACTAGGCTTAGTAACTATGTCAAAGAATGAAATAAGATTTGTTTGCTATGATCTGTTTTTAGCAAACCCTTGCTGGCTTCTAGTTTTTCAATCCCATTAACATATACTCGATTACTTAATGCTAATATCTGTAATAATAAAGATGCATAATATTTTGAGAAATATTGAATTTATTTAGATTTACATGCAAACCAAAAGTGTGAGAGATAAATAAAATATATGCATACATACACATATTTATACAAAATACATCTTAAAAAATGTTTAAAAAATGAGCATCCACTAAACCCACCTGGTTAAAACTGCTGGGCCATGTAATGGCATCATCCTGGATATTAAAGTTCTTGCTTGAAGAAACCCAAGGCACTATCTTTCCAACTTTGACATGATGAATGGATTGGTTTGGGAATGTGACCCAGTTTACAATATCAAATCCACTTGTCAATTCTCCATTCTCGTCAAAAGAAACCTGATCACCTGCACTATTGTTAAATACGATTTTTTTCAAGAAAGAGTGGAGCTGCAAGGCAAAGAAGAGCACAAGTGTTTATAAAAATGTTTAAGTGAATTTAAGATAATTCTTAAATCCCAGCTCCTATCACCATTATATATTATTTCTGTTTTCTTAATTTGTTCGAAGCTGATTGCAGAATATTTCACAATGAAAAGGGACTTCTTTTAATTTAAAAGAGGAAATGGGTAGAAAAAAAACAGTAATATATCAGTGATGCTCACATTTGTCAAATTTGACTGAAGGTAAGCCATTTCAAATGGCCCATTCAACACCCTCCCATATGGACAAATCACCAGGTAAGTCCCCATTGCAATAACAAAATCAAAAGTGGAAATAGGAAAATTTGATGTCATAAGGATGGATGCCAGAAAAGTAGGGGACAGTTTCTCCATGGGATTTCATTAAATGTAAGTAATTCATAAAAGAATTAAAATATAATCATGTAGAGGACACAGTAAGCAACCTGTCTAGAAAATTGAAGATATCTTAATCAAGAAATTACCATGAAAAGGTTGTAAGTCTTGAAAGATATAAAATATTTGAGCAATATATTACATTACCTTCCATGGCTGCAGATCTTGAAGAAATGCTTTTTCTCCATTTCTTCTCTGTCTGAAGAGACATGACCACATGGCCTGTATAGTATGTGCTACTGCATACACTGCATTATATACACCATAGCTATAACTACTCATAGTCATTTCAAAGAAAGCTCCAGGAAGTGTCTCCAGCTTTTCCTGCCCACTACAGAGGTCATTGGTTTCCTCAGTTATAGGCAGTTTGGGAAACACACAATCAAATGCATGTGCCCACACAATTTTGATAAAACCATCATCTCTTGATAAGAAAGGGTTTATAGTCTGAAGAAATTGTTGAAAACCTGGAGCCTCATTTGAATTAACAGTGAAGGACAGAGCACCATAAAATGCTTGGATATCCCACTTTCTTTGATAGAAATATGATGCAAGATCAGTCTGAGCCACCATGATCCACACTTTCCCTTTTGGCTCTTTAGGAACTAATTCCATTTGTGGGAGATAAAGTAACACTCTCAAATCATCATATTTCTTTCATAAATTATCACAACATTGGCATTACTTTTCATCAAGAAAAGGTACATTTCCACTAGCCAATCCATGTCATCAAGAACAGTGCTTAGATAAAAGGGCTTAAGTCTTTTCAAGAAAGCAACACAGATTCTGTGAGGAGAAAACATGGACGAAATAGTACGCACAAACCTTTCTCCATCTTCCTCTTTAAATAATATTCCAATCCATGTCCACTTGAAGTGCACAAGGAGCTGGACAATTGCTTTGTATTGGTGGGCTTCATTTGGGGCCATCTGATAGAAAGAATGTGCTTCAGAGCTATCATTCTTATGTAGAGGAGAACCATATGTGATCTGTTCAAAGAAAAGTTGAAAAATTGAGATAAGAATAAAAATTGCACACCTTCATTTGCATCATAGGCATTTAGAGCGAGAGGCAGAGGTTACATAAAGAGAAAACTTTGTTGGCGTCTTATCACTATGTTAAGTTTTAAATATATTATTTAATAAGATTAAACACAGTATGTCTTCAAATTCTGTGAGATACCTATAGTTTCTACCAGTGGAAGTTTGTAGATACACAAAATAAATGCCACAGTGAATGAGATTCCAGAATGAAATTCTCCAGTAGCTGACATGAGTTTGTTCTGGATGTCACACTTATAATTGGGGATGAGTTTCTTTATATATTAGTTATTGTAACAACTTGACATTATTCTTTGGGCTTCATAACAAAAAATCAAACCCATCTAGAGCTACAAAACTCAGGTAATTAAATTCCTGTAAGTTTCCTTAAACTCCCACCTGTGGAACTTTGTAGATGCTCAAAATACGTGTCATCTTGAAAGAGATTCCAGAATAAAGTGCTCCGATAACTGAAATGAGTTTGTTCTGGGTTTCACACTTAAAATTGGGGATAAATTTCTTCTGTTTGGAGAAAAGTTTCATTGTGGTATATGATGTGTATGTTCCAGCATAGTTATCATACATTCTGAATCCTAGAGTGAGGTTCGGCAAGATATGAGGGCTGTCGTTGATCTCCTTCACAGCAAATATCAAAGCCAAGATATGTTGATAGTATTTGGTAAGAATGCTGCAATTAGGATTAAATATGTGTTGAGGGAAGTTCTGCATCTAAGAAAGTCAGTTCAACTTTTTTTATGCTTATTGAAGTTCTTAGAATTGAACACTTGCTTTGCCATATTATGTCATTTTATTGGAATCAAAACTATTTCAGAGTGTTATTTCATGCATTCTTTAAACAATATATATAAGGAGTATGTTAGATACCCTGGAAATAATTTTTCAGTGGGATTATCATTGGCTTTTTTTAGACTATTTTTATAAGATTGTCAGTGAAATAAAAGCAAGGAGGCTTGCAGCATCTTAACTATACATTAAAAGTAATGCTTCAGGTAATGCTTTAATAAGACTGCTCTCCTATTCTTATATGGCTTGGAAACAATTTATGAAACATCCTTTTGAGTCCATGACTAATTTAAAGTTATTTTCTGTTAAAAGGAAATGCTCTGATTCTTTTAAAAATAGAAAATATATTATATTTTTATCTTGCATTCCTATGATAAAAATGGTATTGCATCAAATTAAGTTTAGTACAGAATCACATTAATATTAGAATAACATAAGAATTTTAATTCCATAAGTAAACTAAAAAATATACATTTTTAACATTACCTAGCAAACTAATGATATGTGTACATTTTCCTTTTAAAATCTTTTCTCCTAAGCATGGTTTGTTGCAATTAAATAAAAACAGGCATTATAAGATTTAACTTTACTTAGTTATTTGCTAGAGACAGCCAGTGTCAATATCAGTTGCTTTAATTCCAAACATTATAATACCTGATTGCTATTTAAATCATTGATTGATGTACTAGACTGTTTTCTTTCTTTAGTTCATCCCTCAAAGATCATATGCAGTACAAAAATAATGTTTAGTTTACATGCATACTTTTAATATATATCACTTTCAATAATTGTGATAAATATAATCAGCTATTGTATATGAGCACTCCCACACATGCATACAGATAGAAAAAGGAGAGGAGAAAAAAACTCACAGAAAGTTATCATTAAATGAATAGTGGGGATCTTCACCAAAGGTTGGAGGAACTGTAGGGATGGTGATAAGAGATGTGATACCACCAATAATAAAATCACCAGCTTGAAAATAATTGTGCACAATGGCAAGTGGTTCATTGCTAGTGCATTTTGCCATTTCAGTCATACATACTGTCCATGGCAAGAACAGGATTAAAAGCAACAATTGTGCCATTGTTATCTCAGTTCCCAGTTATTTACAAATGATCCAGTTTTCATCTTATTCTGAAATTTATCCACTGTTGCTCAACATCCACTACTTTCTTTGAGTGATCCACTTTCCAATGAAGTTGAAAACACTTGTACATTTTATCTTGTCTCAGTTCTTAGTTTTGCTAGTATTTACCAAGCTTCCAGGAGAGTTTTTATGGGATTAGAATTAATCACAGTCTTTTTAAATAATTACTGGTCAGATAATATATGTATTTTTAAAATTCCAATTTCTTTCTGTGTTGTTAGGAACACTTTATCACTAAATACTATTCTCATCATGCTCAATAATAAAACAAAGCACATGTGTATAAAGAAGGTCTCCAACTAATTGAAAAACATCCATTTTTAATTTTTTTAAAAAGGTATGGAGTAGAAAAGGAGAACAGAGTTGTATGTGTGTCTATAGTCTCACATACATATAGTATATCTATACATTATATTTATATGTGCTTTTATTGATGATGGGATCAAGCAAGGGTCTAGCTTGGAGACATTGTACAGCCATAAGCAGCATAAGCTTGATCTTTCCCAAGATCCACGAAAACCTATCTGGTGATTCCCAAAGGAAAGGCAAGCAGTCTGATAAAATTATTGTACCGTGTGACATATAATAAAGTTACTGACCTTGGATATTCATGAGAGGCTATGATTGGTTGTTCCTGACAAAAGACTACATTAGTCTTTCAAAAAGATAGCTGTATACCTTTATTGAAAACTTGGTTTTATTGATCAATGACTGAAATAAGGTGCCTTCTTATTGTTGAAACTTGAACTGCATAATGTACAATTAAACTTTATCTGAAGTAAAGCTACATAACATTAATTGATATTGCTCATTTTTTCTAGTTTAATAAGTATTGCCAAGATGCTTATAAATATTTACTTATATAAAAAACTGCATTCATACAACATCCCAATCTAATGTCTCAAGAAAGGATAAGAAAAAAACTGCAATAAAAGAAATTATCAGAACAGAATAGAATAGAATAGAATAGAATAGAATAGAATAGAATAGAATAGAATAGAATAGAATAGAATAGAAGGGGTCCTGGAGACCTTCTAATCCAGCCTCCTGCTCAAACAGAAGAACCTACACCATCTCAGACAAGTAACTGTCCAGTCTCTTCTTAAAAACGTCCGGTGATGGAGCACCCATGATCTATGAAGGCGAGTTGTTCTACTGGTTAATTGTCCTCCTTGTTATGAACTTTCTCCTTAATTCCAGGTTGCTTCTCTCTTTGATCAGTTTCCAACCATTGTTTCTTGTCCTGCCGTCTGGTGCTTTGGAGAATAAGTGGCAGCCTCTCAAATACTGAAATACTGCTATAATGTCTCCCCTATTTCTTCTTTTCTTTAGATTAGCCAAACCCACACCCTGCAGCTGTTCTTCATAAGTTTCAGTCTCCAAGCCTTGGATCATCTTAGTTGTTCCTCTCTGAACCTTTTCCAAGGTCTCAACATCTTTTTTGTAGTATGGTGACCAAAATTGGTTGCAATATTCCAGGTGTGGTCTCACTAGGGTTTTATAAAATGGTACTAATACTTTGTGTGATCTTGATTCTATGCCTATGTTTATACAACCCAGGTGTCAACACTGCTAATATTGGATATTATTGCTTTGACAAGATATGCAGAACTGTCTGGTATTTTTAGAGTTAATGCAGATGGTGGTGGTGGGGAGAAAGATAAAAACTGGGCCGGAAGGGAATGGAAGTGAATCTTTGCCCTCCAGGTTGATTGGAAAATGTGAATGATGACTGCAAAAAGGGGAAGGGCAATAGCCTGGAATGTTATGTGCAAAGGAAGGGAAATTCAGATCTTGGCATCCCTCCATGTTGTGCCAATACTCTGTTACACTGTAATAAATAAATTCTAGGATAAACAATGCCTGGAAGTTCTTTGAAGTGTTTCATTAGTCGGAACCATGACAACATGCCAAGATCAACAAACTTTTCAAAGATTTAGGGGTCCAAACCCCAGTCACTGTTCCTAAACTAAAGGGATAAGCTGACAAAGATTTGGGGAAGATCTCATTATGGAAGAAGAAAGATTGCCTAAGGCCAGCACCCCAGTAGGAGTGACAGTGAGCAAGCCAGGGGAGAAGGAACTCTGGCAGATCTCCCAGCTGGGAGCAAGACCAAAGCAATTAGGAGAGCTGATTTGGTAATCAGACTGGGATAAGCCGAGCTTAGCTAATGAACTGCCTGCCACTCAAGTTTTGGGTGAGTCACTGGAAAGATTTCAAAACCCAGAGGTGAAAAGCAGAAATAAATTCCTGCAGAGAGGAGCCTACAGCCCTTCCATTGCAGAACAGAAAGCCTTTCAGATCCTGCCAGGGACTCCAGCCCCGAAGAGAGATGGAATCCCAGTCTGAGGCCTCTGCAGTAATAGGGAGATTGGCAAACCCAACAGGTAGATGGTCAACAACCTCTGAATTTGCCACACCTAATAGAGCCTTGCAACAGCTTGGGGTGGTGCAGAAACCAAGAGATCAGCAGCTGGTGGGGAACGACCACAGCAAGGAGATTGGCTACAGCCCCTGAACATCCAACCCCTGGGCATAAATCTGCAGCCAGGATGGGGCCAGCAGCAACAGCCACAGTG